TGCTTGTTTGTTCTGTCTAAAATTTTTATTTTGGAATAAAGAGGTTAATATAAATTTTTTTTTATGTCCGATTCATCGATTAATCGAAAAAATAATCGGCCGATTCATCGATTTTTAAAATAATCGTTAGTTGCAGCCCTAATATATATATATATATTTGCCCGAAATTCCCGGCGATGCAGAGCCGGGTGTGAGCGGCTGAGATGATTAAAAAAAAGTTGGTTGTGTTATAAGACACATTTTACAGATGACTGGTTTGTTTTTTGTCCGACTTGCCATGACCGAAATACTGCCAAACTGGCGAACTACAAAAACCCTTCTTTGGAACAATTTCCTCCGCCTCTCCTTCATGTGCTCTGTGTTGTGGTTTGAGAGGGCGGCGCTTTGTGACGGCATGCCTGGGTCCGCGATTGTGATTGGTTGGGAGGAAGTAGTGACTAGCATAAACCTACATGCTACGCTATAATGAGAAGGAAGGAAAACTGCGTTTCTTTATCGAACTTTTATCGACGCTCTTTTTTTCTATTGCGACACACGTCTATCGTTCGATATATATTGTTATTGAATTATCGCCCAGCCCTAGTTCAATGTTCATCTCTTCCTCAACATCCTCGAGTTCCGAGTATGCCTTGGGGGAGTGCTTGAAGTGGGTTACTATTTTTCTCCCGTTAGCGATGGCATCGCTTACAGCTCGCTGTGCAAATAGACCGTGTTGGACAACCAGCTGTAAAGTGTGCGCAAAACATCCCAGGCTGGGCACACCGAGCTGATCCATTGCTTTTTTCATGTTGGCCGCATTGTCCCTTAAAACTACATGGACCCTCTTTTTATCAATCTTCTAAGCCAGTAACATATGTTCCATAGCGTCTGTAATGGCATTCGCTGTGTGTGAGCCTCTAAACTCACGCGCATTTAAAACCGCTCTTTTGGGGTTGAAGTCTGGCCCAATCCAGTGTGCAGTTAAACTTAATAAAGATAAAGGACGGTGAGCACAGCTCCATATGTCGGTTGTGAAACTAAGCGCTGTTGCAATCTCTACTTGTTTTTCAATATAACTTCGAACGTCTTTGTGAATCTGGGGGATAGTTTTCTCGAGGATGTAATGACCGCTGGGCATGTTGTATCATGGTTCCAGGTGTTGGATGGTGCGTCTAAAGCCCACTTTACTGACGAGAGATAACGGCTCGTCATCCAGAATTATTTCCTCAGCAATGACTCTTGTTATCCCTTGGGCTTTAGCACTATTAAGTGGCAGCATATCACGCTTCCCAAATGTTTCTGCAAGAGTTAGTTGTGTAGGACCTTTCTTTTTCTTGTCGTCTGTTTTTTTTAGAAACTCTTGATGCTCTTTATGATGATATTTCGCTAGATGGTTGATCAGATTTGTTGTGTATCACAGCCTTACCACCACGCTTGATTCTAATGTGGCATGTTTTACACTCCACCTCATCATCTTTTTCATCGTGCAGGATAAAATAATCCCCCACGGCTGACATTTTCCCCGCTATCTTCCAATTCACCTGTTTTAATGGTTAGGCCGGGACACAGACCCAAAAAGACCTGTGGGTGTGTTGAAGGTGTTCTGGAAAATGCGGACCGGATTCGGGGAACACTAGCGCAAAATAGTGGAATGGATCGTTTCAATCGGCGTAGCTGGAAAATACGGACTGGATAAAAAAAAAAAAAACTGGATTGGCAGTCTGGATAGGCATTTTTACATGCTTTGCCGATACGCATTTTTTTGCCAATATCGGCTTCCTATACGTGGATCGGATCAGGACAAGCCTAGACCGGACAAGCTACAAAGTCTATGTGCGCGATTACCAGTGGTACTCTGAGTGGATGATGAAGACGGGTCTGACTGTGGTGCGGCGGCAGCAGCAGGAGGAGTCATTTCAACCCGGAGACAGACGAAGGTACTGCATTTGGCCTTTATTTGATGCACAATAGTAATGTGCTTGGCCATTGAGGTTGTGTTCCCCCCTTTAAAAGAGATGATTTTGCAACATAAGTTGATAGAACCGGGTTTCGATCCCCATCCCTACTCATGTCCCTCTGTTGTCGGATTAAACTCGCCCCCACTTCCTCACCGCCTCGGCCGTATCTAGACCCACAGTGTCTAGCACAGACCACGCTTCAATATTGAGCATAATTTAAAAATGTCTTTGTCAAGCTTACTGCAACACACTGCTGCAGGAGTATAACAAGGAAGCGAGGTAGGAGGGCAAAATAGGTTTAGCGCCACCGCAGCACGGGAGGGAGAATTACGCCCAGGAGCAAATGGATAAAAATAGACCAGAGAAAAAAAAAACATGAATTGATTATCTTGCGGATGTGTCGATGCATCGGATCGTCGGCTATTGGATCGATACAAATATATTATTTACACCCCTAGCTCATACGCAACTAGATACCAAATTCCGGTACAGAACGGTTCGTGACAATGTGGCCGACAAATGCAGCCTTCTTTTTGCCCGTTTTAAAAGACGGGTATCATACGTAGCCTTGGTTATCCTAAGATTCATTGCGAGGGCAAGCCGGCTGCTCTGTGACCAGTGGAAAAAGGTACATGTCGCTGAACAGTGGTGAATATTGTAAGTGCAATTGAATACAACACAAGTATGTGAATAGTTCTGTCTGAAATTTATGAAAATATTTTTTTAATAGTTATCAGGTCAGATTATTTGGTGGATAATGTTTGGTTTATAGAAAGTTTTTATCTGTCCCTGTGCAAATGTCTGTTTGATATTGAAGCACAGATTGCAATATAATTATGATATTCGCGATGTTCGTAATCCTGCCGAAGCTCCTAAAAATTATTTTTAGCATCCAGAACAGTAGTGAGAAGTTCGGCATCCATTCTTTGCCTGGTTTTATGTTTCAACTGTTATGGGTGCTAGGCTACAGAGTTAGGGTGGTGGAAGCCAGAGAAGGCTCGACTTGTTTGAATCCATAGCCAAAACTCTTCTTGCCTCTTTATTTTCACACTCCCCCAGGGAGCAGCCTCTGAAATTGAACACACCCTTAGTGTTGAGAATACAAGAGTACCACAATAGTCTATTTATATTTATATACAGTTATACCTTTTAGTTCATTATTTATAAAAAAATTATAAACCAAAAATATCAACATTTAAAAAAATGACTAACAGCTGATACTAGGGATGCACGATATTGGGATTTTGGCAGATATGCCGATAACTCATGTAGCCGATAACCAATATTGATACAGATTTTAAAGCTGGACAAAAATAAGTAGTCATTGAAAATAGCAGTTTTATTAACCATTTCTGTCACTTTGAAAAATAATATACTCAAATATATTTTCATATGCTGATATCAAATAGATTTTTAAAAACGCTCTAATCGATCTATTTTACTTTCAAAATATCGCGAAATTTCATCGTTCTGTTACAAACTCTCGTGATATTTTGCAAATTCTTGTGAGATTTTGTTAGTAAAATAGATAGATACCGCGTCAATATATCAACATATAAAAATATGGCAACATTTCGTGAATTTTCGGGGAATTTCGTAGCATAACGATGACATATAGCAATATTTCATTAGTAAAAGAGATTGATATGGTGTTTTTAAATGGCAATATATCAGCATATGAAGATATTGGGATATTTTAATGTATCAATATTTTTTCCCTCGCCTTTAGAAGTTTTTAAGTCTGTAAAAAGGAAGTTTTTGAGGAAGAAGAAGTAGTATTTTTTTTTTTAGACTTTAGAAACTCAGAAGCTGTTCAAATATGGGGTTAAATATCGGTGGGGTGGCCGATGTCCGATATTCAGTTTTAAAGGAATAGTACACCCAAAACATGATTAGCCTTCATTTTCTACTCACCCCCATGCTGAACAACACTTCTTGCTGTCTGCTGTCTGCTGACATTCAAATAATGGAGGTCTATGGTGCCCGAGACAGAAAAGTCCACAAAAAACGTGTCAATATTCCTCCATACTGCAGACAGCAAGAAGCCTCCCAGATCTCCAGATGCATTTGAGATATCAAAAAAGTACTCCAGAGTGTTGTTCAGCATGGGGGTGAGTAGAAAATGAAGGCTAATCATGTTTTGGGTGTACTATTCCTTTAAGGCCGATACAGGCCGATACAGACAGGGGGCCGATTATATCGTGCATCCCTGGCTGATACTTATGACAACACCGATATATCATGCATCCCTAGTATGTACATAGTTTCAATTCTATCTAGCCACCCACCCAGAAAAAAAATTAGCAAAATGCAAGAGTGCTAATAATGATTCCCAGACATCTAAACTGTTAAGCTAATGGCATGGTGGATGGACAGAAAGATGGATGGTTAGAGGTATGTGTCGATGGATGATGGATACATGGATGGATGAATGACGGACGGATGGATGGTATTTGAATAAAGGATGGATACACTGATTGACTGATGGATGGATGGTGGTTGAATGATGGATGGATGGTGGATGAATGAATGGTTTCCATTTAAGCAGAGTCAGTGATTATTAACCTTCGAAATCAGCTAAAATTATTGATTTACTGATTTTTACTCTATTTGTTCTTTAACTCTTGTAGGTTTCTTATATTCCAATTTCAAGTCAGTCTCAGCTGTGAGTCTCACTCTACATCTGTTTCTGAGTTGGCTTGATCAGCTATTTCTAAGTCTTGCTGAATTAAAAATAGACAAAGATATGTTGAATGTAATAATAGCATCTCCGGTAAATGTGGAGAAATATTTTATTGCATGTTACATATCCCAATAAATCTGTTCCACCTTGCCAGGCCAAAGTTGGTGAGGATATGTCCACACCAGTCCTTCAAAAAGTAATCTAGATTTCCCATAAACTTGATCATAACTATATATAAAACATAAGTATAAGTTATGTCCCTCTTTAGAAATACTGTTGAGAAATATTTCCGATATTCATTCTACATGTTGAAAGAGTTTGATTTTCTTTATTCTTGTCACAATTTCCTTTTTTTTTTTTTCTTGTTTTTTTTTTATCAGGTAATATCCAATACCTGCACACGAGGACTGAGAGGCAGAAGTCATGAGCATCTGCCAATCAGAAAAACTGCCACAATGTCTGAAATTCCTGAACTTCCCACAAGAGGATCGGATGTAAACGTTGTTGTAACCAGAGTTCATTTGCATCCCTTATGTGCGCTGGTGGAGTTCTGGGGAAAGTTTAGCCAGCAGAGAGCAATAGATTATGAGATTCTGGCTGAGGAAATTCAGTCCCATGGAGCCCCATTTAAAGATCTGGAGGGAAATCCTGGTGACCAGTGTTTAGTTCAAGTGGACACTACTTGGTACAGAGCACGCATTGTGTCAAGAGATGGCTCCAAATACAGCGTCTTCCTCATCGACAGAGGCATGACGTACACTGCCACCACAAGCAAGCTAGCATGGGGTAAAAAGGAACATTTCCTCCTGCACCCTGAAGTGGAGTTATGCATACTAGCTAATGTGTTACCACGTTCGTCTGAGAATAGATGGTCCCCAGTGGCTCTCGAATTCCTGAAATCGTTTACTGGAAAGTTGGTGGATGCACATGTGCAAGACGTGCTGGTTCCAGACAGAATGTTTCTTCTGGACATCCCTTGCATATCCAAACAGATGTGTGAGATGGGATTTGCCAAGAAGTTGGCTCCAGTAACCTTTAAGGACTTTCTGCTTATGTCACTGAAATCCGTTAGCGGAGCTGAAGTGCTGGCAGAGGTCCAGCAACAATTTGTGGGATCTGGAGAGCGGCTCCTGAAACAGGAACTATTCATGTACCCAGAGTTGTTACAGGGAACCGTGGAGACTGTCATTGTTACCGAAGTAACAAATCCTCAACAGATTTTTTGCATGTTGAAAGTTTTTTCTCACGAAATTAAAAAGCTAACAGAGCAGATTACTCAGGATCTTGAGGAAAAAGTATCCAGCTGCATTATATGCCCTGACATGGTTGGTTATCCATGTGCAGCCAAAGGAAGAGATGGTAGGTGGTACCGCTCTGTGATACAGCAGGTTTTCCCAGCAAATAAAGTGGTGGAGGTGTTAAATGTTGACTACGGAGCCAAGCAGTTTGTGCAGATGGAAAATGTGAGGCCACTGGCTCCAGAGTTCCTCAGGATGCCAGTTATCACCTACATTTGCTCCCTCCATGGAATCCTTGACAAAGAAATGGGATGGACCATTGGTGAAATTGACTACCTCAATTCACTCCTGCTCTACAAAACAATGATAGCCAAGTTTGAACGCCAAAGCATCTCTGACAAAGTATACCATGTCACACTCTTTGATGATAACAATATAAACATAAACGGCTTGTTTGGATCCAAAGAAAACGTTCTCCTTAAGTGTGGGAAAGCATGTGGATATTATTCCCTGCCAAGTGTAGCTCTTAGCCCTCGGCCCTTAGCCCAGCCAGAGAGAAGAATGTCACCTCTTGAGCAGTCTGTCGAACAGAAAAAGATCACACTTTTAGATAAGCTTCCTTTTGAAGATCTTGCACTTAACTCTTCACATCTGGCACTGGTGCAGCATGTATCCAGTCCATCTGAGTTCTGGATCCAAACCGAAAACTACAGAACAGAACTGGAAGAACTGTTGGATAGCCTCTACCAGCTGTACCAGGATTCAGCAAATACCCACATTGTGAAAAATCCAGCTCCTGGGCTCTACTGTGTAGCTCAGGCTCATGATGGTGAATATTACAGAGCCACTGTGACAGAAGTCGGTGAGACGCAAATCAAAGTGTTCTTTGTTGATTATGGCAACACAGAAGTGGTTGAGAAGAGTAAGATCAAGATCCTTTCTCCTGAGTTCAAAAGGATGCCACAGCTGGGTCTGAAATGTACCCTGGCCGGTGTCAGACCACAAGGCAGGAAATGGAGTCAAAGTGCTTTAGATTATTTCGTCAGGGCCGTCACAGATAAAACACTCGAGGTGCATGTGGTAGGAAAAAGTAGTGATGGCTATGTTGTCACGCTAAGAGATCCTAACACACAGGGTGAGCAAGATGTTGGAGCACAGTTGTCCTGCAATGGGCTCGCAGAAAGAACAGACGCTCGTAGAAAACCTATAGTTGAAGTTGGGGTGAGGCCTTTGGACATATCTACAGCACAGCTGACTGGCTCGGGAGTCCCAGTGCAGAAGGAGGGGGAAAAGTCTGTAAAGCCTACGTTTGATCTTCACAACAATAAGAGAAGGGTTGACACTTTTAAGGAGCAAATCTTTCCCATCGGAAGTGTTCTTGATGTCAATGTCTCTTTCATTGATAGTCCAAATGACTTCTGGTGCCAGCTGGTTCAGAGCTCTGGGCCTTTGAGATTGCTTATGCACAACATGCAGGCCTATTATGCACACAGTGAGTTTGAGCCAGGAGTTGATATTACCTGTGTGGCCCGTCACCCTGAGGATGGAATGTGGTACAGAGCTTTAATCATTTACAAGCATCAAACCCCTCAGGTGGATGTAATGTTTGTTGACTATGGGCAGACTGCGACAGTTTCTCTCTTTGACCTAAGAACGATAAATTCAGACTTCCTAGCTCTTCCTGGTCAAGCATTTCGATGCAGTCTGTATAACCCTGTCAGTCCAGCTTCTGCAATAAACGAGTGGAATTGCAAAGCAAAGGAACGGTTCCAGAGCTTTGCTCAAGGTGCGGCCTCCGACTTCATCATTTTGAAGTGCACCATTTATGCCTTCATGTACACCGAGCAGAGGGTTCTTCACAACATTGTGGATCTAGAGACTCCGTTTGAGAGCATCAGCACCAGTTTAGCCAACCTAGCCACAGGTATTCCACCTAATAAAGCCACTGGGACATCTTTCCGTCTGGACACCTACTATTATTCAACACATAACATCAAAACTGGCACGGATGAAGAAGTCACAGTGATGTTCTCTAACAGCATCAGCGAATTCTACTGCCATCTTGATAAGAATGCTGATGTGATGAAAAACCTCACAATGAGGGTGAACTCCCTCTGCCATCAGCTTGTGAAGGCAAAGGTTCCAGCGATCTTTGGTACCTTGTGCTTTGCTAGATACACTGATGGACAATGGTACAGGGCTCAGATCAAAGGCACTACACCAAAACCTCTAGTTCACTTCGTGGATTATGGGGATACTTTGGAGGTGGAGAAATCTGACCTGCTTCCAGTCCCCAAAGAGGCCAATGACATCATGTCTGTTCCCGTCCAAGCCGTCTTGTGTGCTCTGTCTGATCTTCCTGCTGATGTTCCCAGAGAAGTAAATGAATGGTTTGACAAAAATGCAACAGAACAGCAATTCCGTGCCTTGATTGTGGCTAGAGAAGCTGATGGCAAATTACTGGTAGAGCTCTACCATGGCAACACCCAGATTAATGCAAAGATAAAGAAAACCTTTCAGATTGAGATGCAAGAAGAGCAGATTGTCTACCGGAGTAGGAAGCTGTATGAGACTGCAGCAATGCGTGCACCAAAGATGGAGAGGACTTTTTCAAACCAAGAAGTGGACAATGGGGAGTTTGATCAGACCCTGAAAAAGACCAACACCTCCACTCCAAAGCCTTCAAGCCAAAACAAGATGGCTGGTCGGAAGCACTCATCCGCTAACAGAGGCCTTTACACGCCTCCACATCAAAGAAAACATAACAGCGTGACTCTAAATGGTTCTGGGGATTGTAATGCCAGAATGAAACCCAGGAAAGAAATTCTCCTCCCTGAAACTGAACAGTTAGTTTCCGAATCAGACACAAAATCCCAAGAGGAAAACGCAGCAGAGAAAATCCCCAAGCTTTCAGACCTTCCCCCTAAAAGCATCGCTTCTGGTACAGCTGTGGACGTTTATGTGTCACATTGCAACAGCCCTCTGAGCTTCTTTGTTCAGTACATCAACAAAGAGGATGAACTGTTTTCTTTGGTGGAGAAGTTGAATGAACCAGAATCAATGTCAAAAGCCAACATTATTGAAGACGTGCATCCAGGCGATCTTCTTAAGGCAGAGTTTGTTGATGATGGGTCTTGGTACCGAGCAGTTGTTAAAGAAACTCAAGAGAATGCAACAGCTCTTGTCGAGTTTATAGACTTTGGAAACACAGCAGTTATTCCCTTTTCCAAAATGGAAAAACTCCCCAAGTCTCATCTGCTCTTGCCAGCTTATAGCACACACTGCATGCTGAGTGATGCTGCAGTTCTTGGACAAGAGAAGGCCCTGGACCCGAACGTCATGGCTGCCTTTAAAGAAGACATCGGTACCTGTGGAGAGAAGGTGTTTAAGTGTTTGTTCATCAGGCAAGTGAGATCTGTGTGGGAGGTTAGGCTGGAGGACAGTGGCATGGACATTGTGTGTAAATTATCAACGCAGGACACTGAGACGACGAAAAAGAAACCAGTGAATGAGCAGGAAACGCAGCTTGTTGATCAGAGTCAAGAGAAAAATGAGTCTGAAACACCAGCACTGCTCCCTTGCACTCCGGGCTACCCATTTCATAAAGAGATGCTAGTAGGCCAGCAGCTAGAGGTCTACATCATGAGTGTCAACGAAGATTCAACCTTTTGGTGTCAATCTGCTGATTCCCAGGAACTCTCTAAGGTAACGTCAGATGTATCAGAGGTTTGGGATACAGCCGATACATACTCTACTCCAAATGCTCTTTCTCTTGGAATGTCATGTCTTGCTTTATTTGCTGATGATCAGCTTTGGTACCGTGCTGAAGTTGTTGATAAAAATGAAGATAAAGTTTCTGTCCTTTTTGTGGACTATGGTAACACGTCACAGGTCAGCATCAAGGATATCAGAGCGATGCCACCTGCCCTACTGGAAGTTCCACCCCAGGCATTCCTATGCGAGCTCGAAGGTTTTGACTCGTCAATCGGATCTTGGAGCGATGGAGCCGCAAATGAATTGTTCTCAATTACAGAAGACAAGTTGTTACGGCTCACTGTCACCAGAGTGAGAAGAACAAAAGGGAAACTGAAGTGTGTGGTAGAGTTGGAGTCTGAAGGCCAGGCAATAAACAGAGCCATGCAGTCCTGCTGGAAGTGTTTCACACCAGCAGATGTGCCGGATTCAGGCAGATCAACTGTGTCAATTAGACCACAACAGCAACTTGACTCAACCAACTCTGTAGAGGATGATCTTGATGTGCTAGTTGCTAGTAATGCTGCTTGCACAGAACACAGCCTTGAGGATGTTGGAGCCTTTCCTCAGGGGATTTCAGTCTTAGAGTTGGTCAGTAGTCCAAAATGCAGTCGGTGTTCTGAAGACTCCAACGAAGAGCAGGATTCCAGTGAAGGAGCCAGCATCCTCCCTGCTGCCACCATGCCTCCTAAAGACGATTTACCCTCTGATAGTGGCATAGAGGAAGCCTTGCAGGTTTCACTTGAACTCAGAGATGACCAAGATGTTCTGGGCTCAATGGTCACTGAGCAAGATGCAGAGGAGGAAGATGTCTCAGTGTTTCAAGCTGAAAAGCCAGATGATGAATCTATGCAGAGGGCCGAGGCTGAAGAGGGTCCAGATGACCTGGAGACCGAAACTGGTGATGAAGGAACGGATTTTACTTCCACCTGCAGCTTGGACATGGATCCTGTTAATGGTAAGTTACTCGTCAGCTTTTCATCAATCAGCTTTTGATTAAAAAAGTAAATAAAATACACACTAGTAACTTTGCTAATAAAAAAAAAAGGTGTTTGTTCTTCCGTTATAATTAGAAGCCATGTGATCTGTTTTCCTCTCAATGATCCAGCTGTGCTGACTGGGGAAGAAAATGCTGCTACCTTACAGGCTGACTCAATGATCTGTGCATCAGAATCAAATATGGTAAATTGAGATTTTATTCTAGTTACAGTAAGTTTGATGTAAACTCTGATATCATGTGGAGAATGCCAAACATCAATTGGTTGATGTTCTTCTTTTAAGGATAGTCAGGAAGATGTTCTCAGAAAGACGGGAGATCCAATATTGGAATCATCAAAAGAGGTAGATCCAAGCTGATGGATTTTGAAGTTTGCTGTGATCTTTGAGGATTTTCCATTTGACCTGTTTTCTGTTTCAATTTGTTTTTCTGACCCTACCAGGCTCAACCAGTTCCCTCCTCACTAACAGTTGCAGTGCAGTTGCATGGTAAGTCATTCTGTCTTTTTATCATGTCACCCGAAAGTGCTTGCTTCTTTGAAACGTAACGTAACAGTTCTGAATTTTTCACTTTAATATTGTGTCTTGCTTCAGTTAGTAATTAAGTTACATTAAAATCATATTTACTCTATTGCCACAATTTGCACAAATGGATGTGATGCTTTAAATTTCTCACATAGGTATAACGACTCATTTGAGGTGTTAAAATGTAAACAGTGGCTGAATTAAACAATAATAAAAACACTTGAAGTCATAGTGAGGGTAGATAGAAATATTTCCTTTTTATGAATTAACTGAACAAAGGGAAGTTTAATTTTATCAGAGCAGGACATTGAGGCTGGAGATGAGACCCTACACGAGGAGCAGATGTGTGGTTCCACAGATGTCAAGGTAATGTCACAGAAACAAGGGCTGATGATAGCACTTGGAGATTAATCACGTTTTGTTTATGATGATTTCATTATTTTGGAAATCTTTTTGTTCTTGCATTTATTATCCTAACCAATAGACTAGCGAATAGTGTGATAGTGTGTTTTGATTTTATTTATTTGTTCTTGTGAAACATGATGGTTTTACAGCATTTTTCACAGCTGAATCCTGTTGCCCTTTAAATTAGGATCGCCTAACCCCTTGCTCACACTGGCTCCGGTGCAGTTACCGAGCCGACGGAGACCGCAACTCCCGCACATCCCCTCTCTCACCGCCCTTTTGACTACGGTGCGGCTCCGGCAACAGGTCCGGAGATTTAACAGAAGTTCACTTGAGTTCACCTAACTTCACGCGATAACACGGCCCAAATAAAGGATTTTTGCAAGAGCTTGTTGCGGAGGGCTCCGGCACGCCGCAAGGATAGCTTTCTTGCGGAAATTTCTGCAGCGCCGGCGTGTCTCGGTAACCGCAGCCGGATAGCTCAGCAGCCGGTGAGAGAGGTTTACGTCTTTTTAATGACTTGGAATCACAGCGGCGCCGCACCCACCGCACCGCAACGGTAAGACCGGAGTCGGTGTGAGCCTGGGGTAATAGAGGGGTTGGATTGAAATCAAAGCTTGTTTTTAAAAGCTATATATGTCATTGGTCAATTAAAAAATAATTAATCAGATTTGGTAAGAAGAAAATTAAGGTTAGATTATCGGGTAATATTGCCCGACCTGAGTTTATATTTGTATAACCTTTTTTTTCTTTATTTAAAGGTATTATGGAGGATTTTTACACATGAAAAAAAAAAAAAAGCTGCCCAATCTACTTGGAAATAAAATTCACATGCACAACCCTGTACCCGCTCCCAATAGGGAATGCCTATTAAGCGCGTGCGAGAGCGTGCACCAGCCCATTTCTCCTCATGCACACTCTGTTTAAAAGTTTTTCTCATAGCTCATACAAGCTTACTGCGCCCAAACGTCCACCTTAACCTCTAAATCCCTCAATCGCTATATAGATCAGAGACTATATAGATGATCCAATTGATTTGTGTTGCTATTTTTTTTAAAGTTAATATTTCTTCAAGTTGTAATAATCCTAAAAAAAATCACAAAGTCTAGATAATACAAACAGACCGAAAAAAAAAGCATGCAGTTTTACTAAAATGCTGTCAAAGTGTCCGTCAGCAAAATTATTTTTTTCTTTTTTTTTTTTTTTTGCAGACAAGCATCTGAAAGTGTTACTGTGTATTTAACCTCAGTTCTTACCAGAGTTGTTTGTGTTCATTTTAGCTGGTTTTTCTAGTTCAGACCTGGTTATAAGCATAGTCCAAAAATCCTCAACTGCATTGGGATCATACCAGGAGTCCTGATGTCCTGCAACTTTATACCAGGCACAACTAGATTTAGTGCATTTGGCACTCTTTTTAGTTAATTGGGGAGAAAGGGACATTTAACTATTTTGTGTAGATTCACACCAAACAGACGCAACCAACCTCTACCTCTGTATTCTGTGATGTAGTTCCACCCTGGAGAGGATGTGGTTTGAAAAAATAAAACCAATGCTAGTGACATTAAACCTTAGACAAACGTTTATGTCTGTGTCTACAAATGTGTTTCAGAGTGACCTGACAGGTGAAGGGGCTGGTTCTGCTCAGCATTTGGACAAAGGACCAGGTTTGTTTACACATCTTCAGATTATCTATGCGGGGTATTAAAGATAATTCATGTTGCTTTTGAAGCCGACCTTATCTGGATCCAGTATTTAAACCCTGAAGGCCCCAGCACCCAAATCTCTTCATCTTAATCTGTTTGCAGAGCTGCTAAATCAAACTGCAGCAAGCATAAGTGAGGAACAAACCTGCACGGCTCGCTCTGCAGAAAGGGTAAATGCACATTACAAGCAGAACATTCTTACTTCACTTACTTGGCATGTGCAACAGGTAGTGTGCCTGAACTCTCTGTTGGGTAATACTGTTTAGTGCAATGTATCGGCAGCTAATGTGAGGAAATTTCCTCACATTAGGCACCAGTGTTCACTTAATATTGCCTCTAAAGTGTTGGTGTTGCAAAACATACGTTTTTACTCTAACAGAAACCTAAAGCATCTTCATTCACTTTGCATTTAAAGAATATTTTTCAGGTTTGAGTCCAATTAATCAATCCTGAATATTTCTTCAAATGTATTTACAGTCATATAAAAAAGTTTGGGCACCCCTGAATAATCTCCTGTTTGATTCTCCTCTGGAGATTCATCATGGGCTCCTCAAAACAACTCTCAAATGATCTGAAAACAAAGATTGTTCAACATAGTCGTTCAGGGGAAGAATACAAAAAGTTTTCTCATAGATTTAATCTCTCAGTTTCAACTGTGAGGAACATACAGGGTTTCCGGGGGTCATTAAAAATAATTAAAAGTCATTTAATAATTATTCTTTAAATTAAGGCCTGATTTGGGATTAAAATTCACTAAATGGGATTATTGTGGCATTTAAAATGCTTTATCCCAATCCCAGACTTGCATAACATTGAACATTTGTGGGATGATTTGAAGCAGGCTGTCCGTGCTCGGCGACCATCAAACTTGACTGAACTGGAATTGTTTTGGAAAGATGAATGGTCAAAAATCCCTTCATCCAGGAACTTCGATATGCACATTTATACAGGAAGCGACTAGAGGCTGTTTTTGCAAAAGGAGGATCTGCTAAATATTAATGTCTCTTTTTTTGCTGTGGTTAGGGCTGCAACTAAAGATTATTTTAAAAATCGATGAATCGGACGATTATTTTTTCGATTAATCGATGAATCGGACAAAAAATATTTTTTATATTAACCTCTTTATTCCAAAATAAACATTTTAGACAGAACAAACAAGCACACAAGTACAGGTTGCTCATTAACTGTACTGGTGCAATATGAAAAATAAATGTTTGTGTTAAAACTACGCAAACTTACATGAGAAATGTAGCTGTACTTCCACAAAATATAGGGTACTTTGTTTCATAAAGCGCAAAAAAAGACATTTTTGTTTTTAAAAGCCCCTAAGGGGTTCAAACAATAGGCCCCCCCATTTCAACAAATGAGTTTTTTTTAGACTAGAAGAGTTCTGCCTTTTAAGACAGGAAAGTATAGCAGTTAAAGTTGCTACTTGAGAAAATACTGAACCATAGAGATAAAAATAGCCCTGTGATTCAAATTATAAATTGTATTTGGAATAAAAATGAGAGAACTAGGGGTGCTAAAAAACACATCCTCCAAAGACAGATATTTACATGGGAATGTGGCAGATAATTAATTGACATATTACTGATCTTGCTGGATTTTATTCTGCTTTACTTCCATAAATTGCAGGATCTTCTTTACTTTATCTTCACCAGAAGATTTAAACTTTAAAAGCCTTGCCCTCATAATTTGCAAGTTAATTTTCTTTATAAAGTAATTGTAAACGCTGCTTAAGTTAATTCAAATGAAATTAAAAGTAAAATAAGTAGCCAACCTTATCACTGTCTGTAACCTACTAACACGGTAAGGAAAGCATCAGATGAGCTACCTGAGAAACTAACGTTACGTTTCCCCACTTTAAAACCAAACAAACATGGTGGTTCCGTGCCATGTTAATTTCTTTTGAAAAAAGTTGCATGTTATCACTTTTTTCGCTTTACAAAGCGCAGGCTATTTTAATTATTGTGATCAATTTGCGCCGCGCTTCATTTGCAGTCTGGACGCTGAGGCTCTGACTGCAGAGCTGAGAGGGACTCCTGCGGGAGTGGGGGGAGGCGCCCCACGGCAGAGTAGGAACGATGCATGCTTTCACGTAAGAGTCTCCAAAAGCCGCCAGGGACACCGAAAAAAGTCGCCAGATTTGTCGCTAGTCGCTTTTTTGAAAAATAGTCGCTGGAGGGGTCTGAAAAGTCGCTGAGTTGGCAACACTGCACCTGCAGAGCTGACTCGCTCTGCCATTTTTTTTTTCTTCCTCTTTCAGTCAAGAGGCAGTGATGACGGCGCGGCGGATGACGCAATAATCGCGCGACACAACTAATCGATGATGAAATTCGTTGCCAACGCTTTTAAAAGTAGAATTTTATCGATTTTATCGATTCGTTGTTGCAGCCCTAGCTGTGGTGCCCAAATTTTTGCACTTGTTGAATTTTGTTTTAATGCATACTGCACATTTTCTTTTAGTCCAATAGTGTTGGTTCAATAATCACACTGCTGACGTTTGTATCCACACTTTAATGGTCGCCATTAACAGTTAACAGCCTGCACTCCCGCGCTCATCACTCAACTCCATGAAGAAGGAAAAACAGATCTAGCCCCGCCTCCCATTCCTTACATCTCATACATGCACAGTCTGCTACTTACAACTTAACAAATAGGCCTCAATTCAATATTGAAATATTGCTGCGTCCATCAGTTATTAGATATATCAAACTGAAATAGACGTTGCAAAAACCCAAATGTTCAGAAATAACAATTAGATTAATAAGGGGTGCCCAGACTTTTTTATATGACTGTATTTCATCTCCTAATTGGTTTATTGTTTGAACTTCTCCAAATCCCTAATGCTACGTTCTCACCGGACGAAGCAGGCGCAGCAGAAGCAAGTTCACATGCAAAGTAAATGGTTGACGCGCGTCAAGGCCTAGCAAAAGGTCCCGCAGCGCGTTTTGAGCAGCAGGCGCAGCGGATCTGAGCAGCTGAAGCAGCGTGTCGGGAGCGTTTAAGCATCTGACGTGCGTGACGCTCTGCTAACGCGCTGCTGCTCGAGATGGAAAAATTTAACTTCTGCTGCTTGACGCACCGCATTAACCAATCAGAGAAGCTGATCTGGGAGCTGGCGGGGAGACAGACACATCGCTGATGATACAGAGCGCTGTGATCGCTCCTCTGAAGCAGTTTATTAACGTCTAAATTAACTTAAAAAGCTGAAACCTGCCGACAGAATATGTTGGCTTTTATTATCCTGGTTATTTAGATGAAAAACACCTACCTGCTGCCGCGGTGAACCGCGAGGAGGCGATCGGGCCAGAGGCTGCTGATGAAGGGATTCCTACTAGAGACTGACATTTTTTCAGGAATCCCATGGGTCACGGGATTCCCGTGGGATTCCCGTGGGATGGGAGTCAGTATTAGTAATGATCACGTGATTGGGACGGTACAGGATTAAACATTAATGGGAGCAGACGGGAGCGGGAGCAAACCAATAATAACAAAAAAAAAAAAACTAGGATCGATGTAGGGCTGGGCGATAATTCAATAACGATATATATCGATCGATAGACGTGTGGCGCAATAGAAAAAAAGAGAGTCGATAGAAGTTCGATAAAAAAGAAACGCAGTTTTCCTTCCTTCTCATTGTAGCCTAGCATGTAGGTTTATGCTAGTCACTGCTTCCTCCCAACCAATCACAATCGCGGACCCAGGCATGCCGTCACCAAGCGCCGCCCTCTCAAACTACAACACAGAGCACATGAAGATGTCGCAGCAAGGAGAGGCGGAGGAAATTGTTCTAAAGAAGGGTTTCTGTAGTTCGGCAGTATTTCGGTCATGGCAAGTCGGACCAAAAACAAACCACAGTCATCTGTAAAATGTGTCGGGAACCAATGAAAACGAAGTCTGATAACACAACCAACTTTTTTTTTATCATCTCAGCCGCTCACACCCGCAGGAGTACGAACTGTGTAGGCCCCGACGCGGCTCTCCTCCGAGGAATCTTTGGGAATTTTGGGAAAATATATATATATTTTCAGTTCTAGGCAGTTTCCCACGTAGTTCTAACAATTGAGATAAAAATGCTGAGGGGCCAGAAACTTCAAAGTAATAACTCAGGTTAAAGCAGGAAACGGGGGTGGCGGTGGGGGGGCATTTATTTATTTGTTATTTTTATTTCGGTCACTTTTCTGGTCACTTTAGTTTATTCTTTGTCAGTATTTAATGACATAACTCAGGTCTCTTAAGTTATTTTTCTTTAAAACAATTCTGTTATGGTTAAAAAAGTTGGTTAAATAAAGATTTAATTAGAAGTCTGTGTTTGTGTTTTTTATTAAAATTAAATCATTTAGCAATATTATAAAAAGTCCAGGCAGAGCTGCACATAAAATATGGTTTCAAATCTTTTCAATAATTATCGATATCGATCAATATGCATTTTTTTTTAATCGATAAGCTTTTTTTCTATATCGCCCAGCCCTAGATCGATGCCAAAAAATAAAATAAAATAGAAAGGAAAAAAAAATCCAGTACTGGCGCGGCGCCCCCATTTTGTAGTTTTTTTCCTTGAAGCCTACACTATAATGCACATCAAAAAAAAAAAAAAAAAAAAACAAGAATGGCAGTGGTGCAGGAGCGGGAGTCATTCTGAATGGGAGCGGGAGTAATTTCACCAGGAGTGGGACGGGACAGGATTTAGATTTCTACTCTGGCCCGGGATCTGGACGGGACACAATTTTTTTCTGTGGGAGTGGGATGGGACAGGAGTGAAAATCCACTCCCGTGTCAGTCTCTGATTCCTACTGACCGCGCACCGCTGGTATGTGGGGGTCTGAGCGGCTCCGACAGAAATAATATTGGAAGGTGGGATTGTAATCTGGATGAACTGGCTGCAATGATTAAGTTTTCAGGTGGACTTTCTCACTTAAAAACATATTAAAACTACTTTATTCCCACTGATCACAGCAAATATAACTGCAAGGCAAAGAAAGGATAGAGTAGCTCCGCCCAACGCGCGTCAGACACACTTTTGCACCGCGCAGCCAGAGCAGCAAAGCTGCTTCAGCCGCGCGTCAGAACTAAACTGGTACAAGCAGCAAAAATGAAGCAGCACATGTGTGAACGTAGCATTACAGGTGATTGTCATTCTGTTATTGTTGTTTTAGGATGAGGATCCAGATTATTTGGCCTGCTCCTTGGAGGAGACCTGTCCAAAAGGTAGCACTCTTCAGATTTTTGTTTTCCTCTCTTTGCTGCTTGTCATAATAAACCTTAAACTTAAAGTGAACTCTTACACTTTTTTCTTTGCTCAGGTGATTCAATCTGCGATGAAAAGATAAGTGAAATAACAGACCACCTGAGCCATGTGATGGAACAGGAAATAACACCTGTTGTCTCTGTAAGTTTCAATATGACAGGACTTAATGTAAATACCAAACAGAATTGAAGCTTTCTTGTCCAGTGACGAGTCTGTCAGATAATTTCAATAACAGCCATTGTTTTATTTTTTTATTCAAGGTTTCTGAAACAGATGTTTGTCCATTAAGAGAAGATTATGTGTGTGATGGAAGAGAACCAGCTGAAGAGTCAGATGAGGTAAACGCTGTGCTTCTCGACGGCCCCTTGCAAAAGTGTTAATACTTGAACTTTATCAGCAATTGGTTACATTTGAGCTGCAGGCTTATCAGAGGAGTTTAAGTCATAGACTGACACAGAGGACTGCATAAGTGAAGGACAAAAAGATTCATGTTCAAGTTTTTTGTTTTGATTAAAATCAGAAAAGTTTGCAATGGATTTCCACATGCTCAGAGACGTCTCTTGGTTATTTCTCTAAATAATGCTCTCCTCGTCCAGCTGTCCATATGTGAATGGTTGGCTATGATGCATGTCTCGGCATAAAGGGCTGTTATTCTCAAAAAGTCACCATTACCCTGACAACCTGGCAGATGCGTTCATTTTTTGTGACTGATGTGAGCTTTTTTTCTGAGCCAATTAGGCTGATCATTATAGAAACAGCGACGGAAACTGTGTTGTTAAACACATTTACCTCCTTGCTTGCACACATTGTGGAAGCGCTGTGAAGAGGTGAACCCTGCACTGTTAAGACCGTCAGCTCCCTGAACATATTGTCAGCTTAGCAACTTTGTTGTTATATTTAGTGACTTTTCCACCACTCTAGCAGCTGTTTTTTTTTTCAGAAAAGCGACTAGTGACAAAACTAACAACCATTTCCTTTCTTGTGGGAGACTCGTGAAAGCAGTTAGGTTTAGTGTCTTCCCTTCCCTCCTAAAATTCCTGACAGCAAGTCAGATGCTGCAGCCCATTTTTGCAGTCAGAGGAGTGCGACTCTCATGTCAATGAAATTTTCATCAATCTTGAGCTTTAAACAGTATATTTAATCACTTTCTGTCTTGCCCATGTTTACCTATAATAGGCAAATTATGTGATGATGTCATTTAGCAGACTGCGGTCCAGATCTGGACCAAACCTTGTTTCAAACATTTATAAATTACTGCATGTTGTCCGACGGCAGGGTCTTATTTCACTTGCGCCGCTTCTCCTGTTTGTATGGTAAAGCCCTCCGGGACCAGGCTGCACGTGATGCCAATTAGCCAATCAGCTGTGTCGGTCAGGGCTGCTGCCGCTGCTACTTTTAGACACTGCAGGCAAATCTTAGGCAAGCCGGGCGATGGGAAGGAAGGAGAAGATGAGAAAAAGTGAAAGAGAGTGTGGACTGCTGGAAGAACCGCAATAGACTAGAGAAAGAAAAGTGAAATGATGCTCAAAGATGACCCTGCACATTTAGACTATGTTTGGCTCAACCTGCTGCTGTGAAGCAGGATTCTCCACCATGAACCGAATCAAAAATAAATATGGATCCAGGCTCAAAATGAGCACCTTGATATGTGCTTTAGAATGGCTTTGTCTCCATTCAAACCCAGGTTGAAAGCCTTGCAGGGCAGCATAAAGCCCACTGTGAACATTAAGCCAGAAGAAAGACAAATAAAATAAACAGTTCAGGTGTTTTATGAGATATGTAAATCAGGAAATTGTCTATATACTATACTTCTAAACTTCTATACTTCAAAAAACACTTTAGATTTTTTTTTTTATTCAATGTATAACATGGATGCATTAAAACATAATTTTATTTTAGTGTTAAATTTTGTTTAAAGTAACAGATTGTAATTAAAAATGTCTCTGGACCTTTACTGGTTGATGATTATTATTATTCGGACCCCACTGATTTTTAATTGGTTACCCCTGGTCTAGATCATCCAGCCCTTTCAGGAATTTATTTACTGTGACCTTTGAAAACTTGGAAATATCTTCAGAACAAAGGGGAGTGTGCCTCAGGGATGTTGAATGCAGGGATGTCCACCAGAGCAGGCTGTAGAGGAGTGATGTTCACTGATGAATCTAGGTTCCAGTTGTTTTGTGCAGATGGTTCTGGCGATGCGTGGGTGAACGGTTTGCAATGCAAATGTTATGCCCTGGGTTGCCCGTGGAGGTGGTGGCATTAAGGTGTGGTCAAGCATCTCACAGACATCGTACACACCATTGCACTTGATTGAAGGGAACATTAATGCACAAAAATATCGGAACAGATTCTCACCCCAATTGTTCTCACCTCAGACAGACATACATGTCCCTCAATAGAGCATCTTTGGGGTGTTCTCCATAGGGGTGACAGTGCAGCTCGGTGTGGCACAACAGGAGGAAGGGAACAACATTCACAGGCCACCTTAGAGAATAAGTGTGAAGAAGTGTTGCTCTGAGACAATCAACTGGCGGACACACAAGATCCAGAGAAATGTAATTCCTTATTCTGACCCCTAACATGTTCAAAGGACAGTCAATCTGCTACAAATGGACAAACCACAATATTAGCAATGCGTATATGACCATCAGTAATTACTGGGAATATATTTTGAGTTTCTCTACATAAAGTGTAACTGCAAATGTTAATGAAACTCTTATATTTGATATGAGGTTGTTATTTTTTTGTTTAGTTAAATTTTAGATGTTATATTTTGTTTAATAAAATTAATTAAAGTTAATTTGCATTTTAATTGAAAACATTATAATTGACTAAATAAATCACTGTTTAAATTCAAAAACCGTATTTCCTACTCTGAATAAATAATTATACACGCGCATAAAGACATATGTTTACTGTTTTTCATACATCTATTTATTTTTCTTAAGGGACCATATTTATTCTGCCTGAAGTGTTTAATCTTATTTTTGTTTTGTTTTTTACCTTTTGTTATTTAATCATCGAAATTCTACTATGTAAACATTGAATCCACATGTAGAAGGCCAGTTCAAGCTTCCTTTTTACCAAACCATTTCTCTTTCATTAGTATTTATGTGAATGACTATTTCTACTTCTCCTAAAGTAGAAATATATTTTTAAGTAGATTTACTCGTTTTAGCGACTTAACCTCTGCGCATCACAGTATCTGAAAACAAAGGCAAATAAAGGCCTATGCACGCTGTTGTTCACCACTTTTCCTACATAAAACATCTCTGTTTTACTATATTAGATCTAATGCTGACACGTCTTTATTATGCCAGATCCCTATCCCTTACCAATGCTGCGGTTATGGTGATAGTTTTCTTGTAGACTTAGAAATGTTCTCATTTAATTAGCTAATTCTGCAGCCAGTTCTTACCAGTCTGTTAGGATTCATGCAGACATTCTTCTCTATCTGCCCAGTGGCTTTACTCAGCTTTTCATGCTAACTGTTCTGCTGCACTTCTTGCTCTGAATATATCAACTTTTTTTCCCCCTGCATCCTCTTAGAGACACTCTGCCTCTCTCTCTCTCTCCATGATGTGACTTGGACTCCAGTCAGCTAGAGAGTTGGCTAAATAACTTTGAATTAGATAACTTTTATTGTCCTTTTGTACAGACAGAGTGTATACAAAACAGAATTTTCATAAAGTGCAGCAGTGATCAAATGTAAACAGTGTGGGTGAAAAAACATTGTGGAAAAAGAAAACAAAAGGTGGGGTGGAGACTGAGGGCTGACCTGAGGACGGCAGAGGGAGATTTCAGGAAAACAAACCAAACGACTGCGTTATTAGGGTCTCATATAGCCTGCTGTTAAATTTAATAATACTGAAAGTAGGGTTGTCAAAAGTATCGATACTCAAAAAAGTATTGACACTGAAACGTTGTATCCGGATACAATACTCATTTTCAAAAGTATCGATACAGTGCTACCACCAGTGGCACCTAAGCAGACATTCATCTAAAGTGCAGAATAGAGGACAATGCACTTTCTGAACACTGTGATTGAATAATTCTGTGCACTTTTCAGTTTCAATTTTAATTTTGTAAGTTTTTTATCAAGCTTGCTTAATACTGTGCACAGCAAACAACCTCAAAATATTGTTCTTATTGTTTATTGTATGCATTTATTATATTTTAATTATTAATCAAAATATTTCTCTTGAAATTTGGAGTTTTTATTCTTGTGGTATCGAGTATCGAATATTTTCCTTAGTATCGGTTTCGAGTTGAAAAGTTTAGTATCGTGACAACCCCAACTGAAAGATAAAGTATCTTATTTGTACATGGATTTTTATTAGCTAAAATAGAATTACAATCTCATAAGTTTGCATTTATATAAGAGAAGGCAGTTAATTACCTACATTTTTTAACATCTTACTAATTAATAGAAATTAAAATATAGGCATATATAAATAATGGATATGTTAAGTCTTGAATTTTGTTTCTTTTTCACAGTGACACTCTTTGGGTCTTTTACTTGAAAAACGTTGATACCGTAATGTAGGATTGTCACGATACTAAACGTTTCAACTGAATACCGATACTAAGTAAAATATTCGATACTCGATACCACAAGAATAAAAACAAAGACTCTAAAATTCAACAGAAATATTTTCATTACTAAAAAATACAAGAAATAAATAAAAAACAATAAGAACAATATTTTAAGGTTGTATGCTGTGCACAAAATTAAGCAAGCTTGATTAAAAAAAAACTTACAAAATTAAAATTAAGTGTTCCTTCCTTGGCTATGGTTTGCAGACTTAACAATGACACTAGCCAAACCAGTTAAACAAAAATAATTCTCAGCAGCTGCACCTGTTACAAAAAAAGTCTGAAACTGAAAAATGCACAGAATTATTCAATCACAGTGTTCAGAAAGTGCATATTCCACTATTCTGCACTTTAGATGGCTGTATCGATACTTTCAAAAATGAGTATTGTATCTGGATACGACATTTCAGTATCGTTACTTTTTTGAGTATCGATACTTTTGACAACCCTGCCGTAATGTGAAGAATGTGAAAAAGTTAAATTAATCTGTAATTATTGACTTATTACTTGTTTTTGAAGACATTTGGTGGTTGTTTGCTTTACAAAAAATGTGTTTGTTGTTAAATTACAGGTCCAGGAAGAATCCTCTGGTGAGTAATAACTCTAATCGCAATGATAAATGATAGTTAAGGCCACGTAAACAAGAGGGCTAATCTGTTAGGCAATTTTATAAGGAAAGCATCTGTATTAGCAAGAGTATCATTTAAAAGTTTGATTGGATCTAATAACTCCTTAGTAGCATAATTTTACTTAACTTTCTACAGTCATGGAAGATGTAATTTGCTGTATATAGACAAATATCCTCCACTTTGTTTTATGAACATTTAAGTGATTATTTTCCATGAAATTCAACATTTGTCTCACTGCTAAAATGCAGGGATTGGACTTTCTTAATGAATAACCCAGGTTCCTAAACGACTTGGTTAGGAAAGGTTTTTCTTTTTTCCCATCCAGAAAGTGCTGCTGAAACAGCAGATGTCCCCAAGCATGATGAGCTGCCATGTCCTCCCAGTCTGGAGAAGGTATTCAACTTATATGTCCAGCTTATTGTTTCCTGTTGCATTTTATTCCTCTGATCTGTGATGCATCTCTGAGCTGTTTTTGCCATCCTGTGTTTCAGGACATCCTAACATTTGAAGACCCCACCTCTATCAGTTATGGTTATTATCTTTCTTATTTCTTTCTTTGAGTATTTTAATGATGGTTAAGCACATTTTGGACCCCATTTTATTTTCCTTTGTTGCTATCTTTTCCCTCCTGCAGTGTCACCAGCTGATATAGAGCCACAAATCCACACAGATGTGGTAACGGATGTCAGATTTTATTTCATTTTCCCACTATTAAGCTACAAATGCATTTATCTCTGAGTAAATCCTGATTCTGCCCCATTTCAGAGCGACATGGTGGAAGAGTTGACATGTTTGATCAGAGAGTTCAGCTTGGATGATGTCTCTGAAGGTATCACGACGCTCCAAATGCATTATTGTAAAGTACTGCTGGTATCAGATGTTTAAATCTCTTAACGTATTAAATTGATATATATAATTATTCAGATCTTTCCTTTTCCTACAGGATCTGAGAAGCTACCTGAACTGGACACGGAAGACGATAAGTCTGAGGAAATTCCTTCACCGCTGAACAGGGTGAACAGATCTGAGAAATGTCCTTTTACTCTCAAAGCTTGTCTTTAATCTTTATATTCTGCCAATAGATTTACTGATGGGGTTGAGCTGTGAAGGAAAAGCCTTATCTGAACTAATTAAAAAAATTTTCTGCCAGGACTCTGTTCTCACAGCGGAATCATCATCGTCTGCAGAGAACAGTTTTGGTAAGCTGTTCTCTATTTTCCCATCATGTCTGTTGAATCCATTGGAAGATATTTTGCTACTAGGGAATGTAATAATTGCACATAATTTGTTAGTGTTAAAAATAATAGTTCAGCAACAAACCAGATCAGTTCCTGTGTAGGCTTATTATGACCGGGAGAACTTGCCATTGGATGACAGAAAGAAATGAAATGGGATTAAGAGAGAAAAAGCTTTGAGCAGTTGGTTGAAACTTTGGTTTAACTGGAATGGACTTTTTATTGTCTGATTAGTATGAGACAGTATCTTAAAAAACCTCCATGAAAAGACAAGCATTAACACTAGAACTCCCAAGGCCATCATTTTGAGATTTTAAAGGGAAAGAACTTAATTTAAATTAGTCTTATGTTGCTCATATTAACTGACATTTTCTGTTGCTATATTTCCTTCATTTTCACGTGTTTTTTTTAAATGAAATTAAAATGTAAAAAATAAATATGGTTAATTTGACCTCGATCTCCCACAGCCGTCATTTTGTCGGCTCTATTAGTTGCATTGTAATTTCTTCCCGCAGTAGATTGACATTTGGTACCGTTGCCTAGCAACCAACATTCTACCTAGAACTCCTTGGCTAATACGGGAAAATGGCTAACCGTGAAACCGCGGAGGGGGAGAGACTGATGAGGAGGACTGGGTAGGAAGCGGCTCAGATTGTGACAGAGAGTCCGAGGAAGATCACCCACGCACTGGAAAACGCAGACGCATCAGTGACTCATCAAACAATTGTGAAACTTTTGTTCAAGCACTGCCCACACATCAGCCGGTCCACATCCACCCAAAAGCCAAACCAGAGCCCGTGGTCTACTATAACCACACACAGGACGGTGTGGATGTGTCAGATCAGATGATTAGAAAGGATTCTGTAAAAGCTCGGACATGAAGGTGGCCTGTGGCTGTAATTTACGGTCTGAAAATATCAGCTATTAACGCATTGGTTTTGTTCAGGAGCTGTTTGAATGTCACTTTTTCACGCAGAGATTTTATCATGAAACTGTTAAAAGGGTTGCGGGCAAAACGCAGGTTTGCAACCCCTTTGCCGCTGAAGAGCAGCTTTGTCGTCACAGAAATCAGCGCCAGGTGCTTCAGCGCTGCACAAAAACCGCTCATATTACATTTGTCATACATGCGAAAAGGTGGTCTGGGAGAAATTTTCGGGGGGAATCGATCAATTTCTGTAGATAAAAATTGTAATTTCAAACTTTGAACCTGTGTAGTAAAACAGTCTTAGTCCACGGATTTATTTTTAATATAATTTTAAAACACAAATGATAAAAGCGTACAATATAGTCTTTGAAAAATATATATTAGACCTATTTTAAGGTTTACATGTCCACAATGGTTTTATATCGCACACTAGAACCCTCTCAGTTGATGACATCGTCACTACTCATGCGTTCCATTGGGAAAAAATGTCACCCGTCAAATTGACGCCAGTGGGAGTTCTAGTAGGATGAGAATTCTGGGAGTCCTAGTGATAATGAGTAGCTCTGCCGTTCCTCCAGGTCACTGCAGTCGCTTGATCCAGTGTGTCCTGAGGTCAGTGGTAGCTTCATTCAGGGCGTCCACTGTTCATTTATTTTTCTACATGCAGTCCATTCCTAAATGTTCTCGGTGAGATTAGGATCAGTGGAACACACAGGTGGGGCTGAAAGAGTGAGATTATCCTCCTGGGAAAAGTCCTTTTGACTGGCGGCCATTGTGAATCACAACCCAGCGACTAGTGGACAGAGGTGATGGCTGCCTGCTGAACATCTGCACAGAGCCAGCTGCACAACCTGAAGCTCTGATGAAGGAAAAAGGTCCCAGATCAGGATGCCCACCTTTCTACGTCCCATGTTTGCTTTGCCCTTTCAAAGCCCAAACGAGCCATTTCTTGCTTCACAGGGAAATATTTTTGTTCAACTAGATTCAGTGAACTTCTTGGCCTGAGGTCATAGCGTCACAAATTCATGACAAAAAACTCTTTTCTGTGCAGATTATGACTGATAACGGCTGTGTGCTCTTTAACTTTTCATCAGCTGATAAATGGCCTGTTTAGCGGAAACATTTTTTTGTTAAATGCTAAAAAATTGTTTTCTCTTGATCTCATTCCTTCTTTAAGCATTGTGTTGTCCATTCCCCAATGGGACAAAGGGTTAAATGCAGAGGTAAATTTCTCAAATGTGAGATCAATACAGTTAAATTATCATTAATTATAAGATGATTCATGTCTTAAAATATTTTTTAGGAAGAATTTGATGTAAAAGGTCAGAGTTGGGAGCATCTTAAAACATTCAATAAATAAAAGGCTCAGAATGGAAACCAAAATATGAGTGTGGAAGAAAACCACCCCGAAAACCCTGAATTGAAGCTACATTCCACTTTGAAGCATTATGGCTCATAAAAGCTCCCTGAAGCATGATCCAGTAGAAACCCTCTGGCATGATGTCAGAAACTCAGTTTCAGCTACAGTTGGGGAATGTAGAGAAATTATGGATTAGAAACTGGTTTCAGACACCATGCTTCAACAGTTAGTTTGTAGTGATTCAGTTTATAAAAAGAAATTTGTTATATGGAAATGTCCTCTGACTTTCCTCTGACGCAAAGCAAATTTGTTCCATTCCCCGATTTTCCTTTAGTCAGAACAGACTATGGAAATAAGCTATAATAAAGTTGAGTTGATATTGATTTGTTTAAAATTTTGTTTTATTCAATATGTTAGTTTAAAATATCTGAATAAGTATTTGTAGGCATTATAAAGGCCTTAATGTTCCTCCTTTATCCACAGCAGGAATCCAAACACATTAGGTAAGCAGGACTTAGCTGCTTTCATGATCTATTTGTTTTTCAATAAGCAGCATCCTGTCTGATCACATGAAGTTTATCCCACCTCATGATTAACACTATAAACCACTGTGCTGCTAGTTGTTTAGTGCTAGCTCTGCTGTTTTCCAGCTTCTTTTATTCAGAGATCTGAGGATCATATGAGCCATTGTTCATTCAGCTGATAACCCCTCATGTTGTGTTTCCTGTTTAGAGGCCCAGCTGTCCAAGATAACTCACCTCTGCCTGATCATAAAGGATGGAGCTGATTTTCTCACTGAGCAGCAACCTGAGGAGTGACTGCCTTTTAGTTAGCTTTGTGGACTCCAGTTTGAAGCTGATCGGTTCATTATTTGATTCACTTTGCATGTCTTGATTTTGGTTAAACCAGCATGTATTTTTTTTCATGTTTCATCTTTTCTTTGTTCTACAAAAAGGAGTTTGTTGTTCCTCGTGTGTGTGATAGGAACACTAGTATGTTTGTTTTTTTCCAGCTAAAAGTGTTTTTCCTGATTGAAATGTTTAAAATACTCATACATATCTTTCAAGTGGAGTTCAAACTTTTTCTGTTTGGTGTAAATACAAGTTTGCTTTGTGAAACAGTTTTGACCCAATAAATCTTTCAGGTCACTAAAGATCTGTGGTTTTCCATCTTTGCTGATGAAAAATGAGAAACTGATGCAGGTGTTTTCTTCAACATCTCTCCAGCAAAAGGATGGACACTAGAAACTTGGAACAAACCAGATTTATTTGACTTTTCTAAACAATGTAGATATTACAGACAGTGCATTAAAAACGTTACATGCTGTACAACTTCTGATGAATCACAGGATCTTACTGCAGGCTTTAGTGTTTAACCCCTGAAGTGAGGCCTTTTATTTGGCTAAGCTCATTACAAACATTTTGTACCAGATGTGATTATTAAAATTAACGCTTCTGGGACGTACCACAGAGATTATAAAGCATCTCAGATCAACACAGGAATTGCTTTGAATACTTGGTTTTAACTAAACTGATTTCGGCATCAGTGAAAGGAGGTCCAGGGTTCATTGAGGCCTCTTTATATCAGCGGGACACTTGGTGCTTTGTCCTTCCTGGCTCTGAGGTAGACGCCTTTACTTCACTATCAATCCAACAAGTTATCCCTCAGTCTGTTTCAGAGGAACCGTTCATGGCTGTTGGAATAATTCAGGATGTTCCTGAGATGTTCAGATGGCAGACTGAAGCAGGACTACGTTAGTTCCTGGGATGAGGTTTTCGTCTTGCCCATCAATCAGAGGGTCCCACTGGTTGAAGTCCTTCTCCAGACCTACAAAATAAAAACCTAATGAGCTTTGCGGATGAGCTGACGTGAAGCTTTGACTGACCTGCAGGGGATTCTCCTACCAAGATGGCGTTGCAGAAAGGCCAACGTTGCCTTGTTGGAGAGGTCTATGCCTAGCTCTGGATCAATCTCTCCCTTCAGCTTCAACAGCTTCCCCATCCAGTTCCCCGTCAGGAAGGTGAAGTCTGGAAAGCTCTGATGAACCGTACCTCTGGAGGAAAGAAGACAGACGAAGGAAAGCATGTTTAACAGAGTCCGTATTAAATCATCCATCACTGCTGCTGTCCTCATAGTACCTGATAGTGATCATTTTCCTCTGAACCACCGCAGAGTCCAGCTTCTTCATGCGGATGATGTTTCCTGCCCACTGGAACTTCTCAGAGTTGATGAAGAAAATGGGCTGCTTCACCCGAGGAAAGATTTCATCATCTAAAGGAACCATCCAGGCGTCCAGAGCTATGGCGCACCTAATGGGACAGGAGCAAAATAACACATCAGAGCTCTTTATTATTCACATTGCAGTAGATAAATTGAGAAAAGCACTACTTCCCTTAAACAGTTACACTTGAGCCAACACACAGAGAAGCATAGGAAGAAAATGAAAGATATTTAAAAATTATCTCAAATACATGTTTGTGTTCAGGCCCATCAGG